ACCATCATCCAATATGGATACCACAACTCCTTTGCCCGTGAAGCCCTTCTTCCATACTGGAAGAACATTAATGTCCACTCCAACAGGACCTCCTGTCTGACCTTCGTTGAGCTGAATGAGACAGTAAAATTATTATTAAGCGACTGTCAATAATAACGTTTCATAATTTATCAACTTATTAACACACACCTCTATTCTGTTTAGTTGACATATACAGCTGTTTTGAGAAAGGTTGTCCAAAGAGCCTATAAGTGCGTACATGACAATGGCAAAATGTATTATGGGTAGAAGTGGTTTCCCATCAATTTTTTAATTGAAGTTCATAGTATTTCAGTGTAAAGGAAGGAGAAATGGCAAATACAAGTATTCTTTATTTTTACTTCCAGCATCCTGATCATGACACACTGTGAACTTCTATCAATCAGCAGTAAGCTACCACTACCCATAGCACTTACCTTTCTCTTTCAGCATTGTCTTGTGTTAAAAAAAAAATTAAAATAGCTCTTTGAATGCGAGTGTGAATTTATTATTTTATGATACAGGGCAGGGAAAAAACTCTGGCCTGGTTGCCCAGGACAAGAACACTTCACTCTTGACTAGTGAAATTAGAAGTTTGATGGTCTGGTGGGCAAATAAAATTAGCCTAAGTAGTCTTGCAAGTTTGAGTGAAAATGTCAGCTTGATACACAGTGGAATCCTAATTTCTCAAACCCTCAGTTTTTCAGACCTCCCGATAGCTTGAACCAAAAGTTATTTCCCCTTCTCAGTCAAACACTGTAATTTTACCCCTGATTTCTCAAACTATCTGATTTTTTGAACCAATTTTCATCTCCCTTGGAGGTTGAAAAAATCAAGATTCCACTGTTTATTATAATTTCCAGTCAGAAACTATTTCAAAACTTAAGACTGCAAGATAAGCAAAACAATGGTTTGTTCTCATTATACTTTGTCCATGGATTGCCACACTGGCAGTCAAATTGGCAGGCACATGTACTGGTAATATTTAGGTAAGAGTAAGTGAAAACTGAAATTTAGTGATCCACTGGGATGGCAGATTTCATATTTTTCCCTACTGTAATATTAGCTATGGGGAGAGGATATGATTGATGCTCAGTCACATAAATTCACTCACCAAATACCACATTTCTTTAAACTTTGGGTCTGTAGGTATTCCATCCCGCTTGACTCTGTGAAGAATTTTTTGTTGTTCTGCCCACTTCACCTGATTGTACAATATCATTGTAGGAAAGAGAATTAATATTTCATTAAAAGCATAAAATGACCGCCGGGATGCAGAAAAAACAACATTTAAAGTACATTTTCCACACTTATTTGAGCTGGTGTTAGGCATTTGTAGGAGAAAATGTTTGGATGATTGACACATTTTTGTGGTTAAATCGGCAGTGCTGTTATTTTTACAACATTTTTTTGTCATGGAGGTAAAATCAGAGATCTCCCAGATTTTCATTTTTTTAGATTATCATCTCTGCACTAGCATCCCATCCAGTAACAATGAAACCTGCTGTTTTATTCCTTTACCTTACAGGAGTAATAACTAGGAATGTGCTCTAGAAGCTCCCGGGTGCCACAGGTGACTAACTTTTGTCTTTGGGTGACTGGAAGAACTTAGTACATTTTTCATATAAGCTTAAGTGCTGGGCACCCAGGATTTCATCATTAGGAACGTTTGGGCTCCTTGTAATTTTTCTTAGACCACAGCCTTGGTCAACTAAGTACGATGCACCTGCCCAGTTTAGAGCCACTACACTCCGAAAAGTCATTGCTAATTTTCTATTACCCAAGATAATAGCCCCAGGCAATAACTATGTATATAACAGGTTTTGAACCTCAGACATGGGTTGTGCAATAAATATAATGTCCTGACTACTCTGCCATGATGTCTCTAGAAAAGCGTAACTAAAGTATGTTTTAAATTTTATTTTATGAACCTCTTTCTCTAGTAGTAACCTATCAGTTTTATCTCTGTTGTGTTCTTTATTCAGTTCATCCACATCATCATGTCTGAAATGATAGTGACCTTTGAGGTCACCGATCTGAAAGAAAGAAGCAAGTCAAAACAATGCTTTGTCTGAGTGGGACGTAAGTCGCTCAGTCTGGAACAGTAAGACCACATAGCCAACCTAGAAAAGCTTTCTAAACAGTGTTTCTGTCCAAAGCTTTAACACATGAAAGGTTTTGACATGCCTTAAGTATTAGAACACAACTGTTACTCAAGTATCCCTAGCTGGTTTCTACAGTGAAATGTTTATAGAAATCTATCAACTCATTCAGTTACATGAAGTGTTACACAGCTTTTAGCTGTGATTTATTTTTCTTTTTTTTTTTCCAGAAAATATCACCAGTCTAGGAGAAGGAACATAAACCAAACTCAAAATGACCAAATTTCTGTTTTAGTTACATAATACATTAGTGTTTCACATAAAGACAGAGTTAGAAAATGACTCTTGAAGAAGGTAAATACAATTTTCACCTTGGCCATTTTTTGAGTAGGTGTAATTTGAAAGTAAACATATGCACAAGAAAATGCGATTTTAACTCAACCATGTCGGCCACCATGTGCTGTTTAGATAATTTATAATCTTGACTGACTTCCAGCTTCATCCAGCCAGTTATTTTCACTAATATTTAAAATCTCTTCCTTTCAGTCCATCATGGCCACAATCTTAACTAACCTGGCCTATAATATGGAAGCCATGTCTCTTTGCAATATTCGCGACCACGTGTTCCTCTGCAGGGTCAATTTCCACTGCCCATGTATTGGTAAAATATCCTTCTTTGTCGGCCAATTCCCTCTTCCAATCTCTTGTATTGTTCCAAGAAGAATCGAACTGTGGTCTACTGTCCGATGTCCGGTATACGCTTGAAATAGTAACGATCGCCAAGCACGCTCTTGTCAGTAAATAAGGCCCATGTCCCATATTTTCTTTCCAGTAAACGGCAATCGCTCTCGTGGAGGCATTCGAAGAGGGATTAAACCATGGATGACAAAGCAATTAAATCATTTATGTTGACAAACGCGGGCAGGTAGACCCTGCTAAAATTCTCGCTACGACTGGTGGCCTCATTCTCCAGTTTCGTTCGACTTTCATGGTTTCTAGCTACATGTAGCCATCATGTTTGGCAACGATTAAAACACACGCGAGAGAATACAACTTTAACTTTAACTCTGTTCGCAATCCATTTTTGTAATTGGCCTGTAAAAATTAAAAGGTGCACGACGTCGAAAGCTCGTAAACCAGTAGTTTTGATAAAACTCATGTGAGCGTCCGTTCTTAGAATTCCTTCCTCTTGGTTATTATTAGCACTCTCGTCCCACATTAACCATGTTTACCTTCTATACAGTGAAAAATCACTGAATAAGAAAAGAAAACCGTAAAACAATTTCAGCTAATTTCAAAATCATCCGCCATTTTCCTGAGGGCCCCGCGCATATGTTTTGGAAGAAAGCCGCTTAAAGAACACCGTATACTCAACTGCTTGAGAATATGACGTCACGAAAAACATTATGGCTACGAAGAAGGGCCGAAACTTGCCCAGTTTGGAATTCTAAAAACAGCGCATTTTAGGTTGAGAATAGTGGCGAGGAAACGATGTTTAATTGGTGGTCCTCTTTGGCACCTCAAGTAAGTCAGAGTAGTGAAAACGTTGGTGAAAAACCCGCTGAAGGGGAGCAAAATACTGTCGAGGGCTGCAGTGGCGATGGAGGGACGGGCAAAACCGACTCGCAACAAAAGGAAAGATCGCAAGATAGCAAGGCGTCCGAACTGGATTATGCAAAGGACATGGCCAAGAATGTAGGAAGTAAGTTAGAAAATCCGTCTGAATTTTGTCGTTTTGGTCTATGTTAGGGGTGGTTCACAGATTCAACAATTTTGTTGACTGCGCTGCCTTATTACTTAAGCCTAAATGCAAATAAACACCTCACCCGTACAATATCTTTTACCCGATCGAAAGGAGAGAAGGTGAAAAATAATTTTTAGTTCCCCGTAGAATAATTCAATCGCTAATTTAAGCTAATAAAGTAGTTAAGCCTACATGCTGGGTTTACAACATGCATGCAAGGTTTGTTATGTAAACCTACATGTAAATAGGCATTACCTTAAAGCCCACAGAATTAGAAGTATTAAAGGAAATCAGCTCTTTTGAAGACCATTTTAAGAGGGATGGGGTTAATAGAAAGTTCTTGATGTGGAGCGAGGGAGGGAGGGATTAATTGAGCCTTTACCATGAAATGCTTCAGAAATAATAGAATGTCAAGTTGGTTTTTATCAAATTTTTTTCCTGTTTGAAAAGAGTCTTCAGTCCCAGCCATAATTCCTTTGCACATCTACTTCAACAAAAATAATATGGCAATAATTAGTTGCCATGAAATGCAATGAAAAATCAAAATAGAGAGCTACCCAAACATGACAAATACCCAGAAGTTGCAACCCCCCTGAAGTATTGATAGAAAAAGCTGCTTAATCCAGTAGTCATTACATTTGGAACTTTGTGATAGTAGTGCATTGGTCTCTAGTCAGCCTAGGGTTTAGTTCTATATACACCCCATACCAGAGCGATTCCCATGTAATGAAGGCCTTTATTCTCATACATGTGTGCTGATCCCAACAGATTTCATGCTTCTGTTGTTGAGCCTGCAATATCCATGCCAACACTGACAGTGGAACATCTCTATACCTGTAGATACCTGTATATCTACACCAAGCACTGCCTTGATCTCATGCTGTTATTTTAACATCCCTTTATTATGTTTGTATTTTCAGATTTTCTTTTCAGCTTTGCTAGCGTTGCAACAAGTACTGCATATAAAATGAAGGACTCTGTGAAGGAAACAGTTGAAAAGCAGGTTTGTGTCACAATTTTTGAACTAGATCACTCTAAGATATTTTATTATTATTATTATTATTATTATTATTATTATTATTATTATTATTACTATTATTATAAAACCTTCTGAAGATGCTTGAATAAAATTGGTACATTTTAGTGTAAAATACACAAAGTTAAATAATGACATCACCCTCCTTATCTTGAATGCAAAATCCTTCGAATATAATTCATGTAACTCTAATGTTCCTTTACATTTATTTACCTGTAGCTTAGAATTTCTTCCAATCAGAAATTTTCAACTGTAGGCCAGGAGGTGCTCTTCTTTTTTTTCGTCGTTTGTATTTCAGAGGCTTTTTATGTTTTCATGGTTACAGTTTTGTTTCATATTTTTTTTCTTTTGTACAAGTGTTTTACATGTAAAATGTGAACAAGACTTAAGGCAGGGCTGATTATCAGTATTTTATGGTTGTATGAGTGTTATTTACATTCATATATGTAACATTTGCTCCTTTCTATTCAAGTCAATAGTGAAGCAACTTGTTATAATGCAGTTTTTTTTTTGTCTCAGTTCATTCTTAACTTCAGTTGTACATGTATGTGTGTAGTTCATTTTCCTCTACTGATTTTTTTTTTCCCTTTATAATTTATCCGACAGCCAATAATTGGAGATTTTAACAAGAAACAAGATGAATTTGTAAAGGAGAAACACAAAAGAAAAGGTAAAAACTAAGAGAAAGCTTCATTTACAAATCACCAAAGTCTCAGCATATCATGTATGTTTCAATGTTTCAACCATGTTTCAACCTGTTAGCTAAATTTTTCAACCTAGGTTAAATTTTTGAAACCAGGATTTTTTTTTCACTTTTTGGTGGGTTCTTAAAAAGAATAACATACACATCACATACATACATGTACCCTCTCAGTTCCTAACCCCACCCCACCCTGCCACAGGGCAGTCGTTAAGATTTGACTCACCTGTAGCCTTGTTCTCCACACCCGTAGCAAACTTCAGTTGTTACTTTGTGGGTGAATTCTATCAACAACAGGCAATTTGAATTTTCACCTGTAGCATGAAGGGAAAATCAAGCATACTCAGCCGTAACAGGTGTTATGGGTTATGGCCCTTGATGACAGCCCTGCTGCTAGGATCCATTTCCCCTTTGAAACAAATGAATCTACATTGAAATCATTCTGACTTAAAGAACAAATTGACATATAATATGTACATGAAGATTTTTTGGTCAAAACCATATATGTAACTGTTAAATTGTTATTTTTTTTTACCTCAAATGTATTGTTTGATAACTTCAGAGGCTGCAATACCACCATGGGTAGGATACAATGAGGAAGAAACTATGAAAAATCAAATATTGGCTCTTTCAACGGTGAGTAGACAGATATTAATATATTTTAAAGTTTAAAATACAGTTCAACCCCTATTAAACAGCCACCCTCGGGGAAATGGATAGCCACCTAGCAGAGGTAAAAACAACAGAAAAGCCCTTATCAGGACTTTGATTACTGGTTACCTAATAGGGGTGGCCATTTAATAGGTGGCCACACAATAGGGGTTCCACCGTACTAAGAGGAGACAAGACTAATCATTAAGTTTTGTTATGGAAAAATCATTCAATTTGGAAACATCAAATGTTAACCCAATGACCTCAGATGTTCCCTAAAATCAATGTGGCACTCCATATTATTAAGAGTCACTATGAAAAACACTTTTAATACTATAATTTAGAATTATTTACATGATTGTCAGTCTTGAAAAGCCCTGAAAATTTCACAAAAAACATGTTTGCTCTATTAGTTGAACCTCTCCACAATGGTAACCTTGAGGACAGAGGAGACTGGCAGCTGTAGAGAGGTGGCCATTATGGGGTGGTAGGGGTGTAATATGACACCTATTGTTCAGGGGGGGTTGCAACATTTATATGTAAAAAAAATAGTTATTGTAGCATATATTAAATAAGCAACACAATCAAAATATATTAAGAATGAAAAAGAAACCAAACAGAAATGGAGACCTATGATGCACAATAAAAAATAGGGTTTTGAATATGCACTGTTTGTCAGGTGTTGATTAACTGGCAGTTGGGATGTGCTCTAGTGGCCATTGCCATTGTGGAAAGGTGGCCATTGTAGAGAGGTTAAAACAAGAGGGAATGTATGGACCATCCACTTGGACAGAAAAATTGGCCATTGTAGAGAGGTGGCCTTTAGTGAAGGTCCAAATGTGTGTCCAACACTCAGACATCATTTAATATACATTTCACTCTTAGTAGACTGACTTCGACTTTAATATGTTCTGGACTTTGGACTTACATATGACTGCTGTTTTTCTTTATGGGAATTACGAGTCATCTTTATTTTACAACTGCGACGTAGTGGTCATTGCACTTTGCTGTGCTTGTTTGAACTGCGGTGCACATCACCGCAGTAAGTACTAAGCAAATTTGTTTCTGTTTTGTTATTTTAGGATGAAAGAAACTTTTTACGAGATCCTCCATCTGGTGTTCCGTTCCATTTTGAAAGTGAATCAATGTACCCTGTTGCTTTGGCAACCCTTCAGGAAGACAAGAATCTTAGTAAAATGAGATTCCAACTTGTACCTAAGAAGTAAGTCAAGTTTGCATGACTGCACAGTGTTTATGAACACAGCAGCCTTTATTTGCACTCTTGCTTTTAAAAAATATGTAATAGTTGTAATTACATGTTAAGCAAAACGAACATACAGTTACAAGCTGAAGTACATTGTAGAAAACTGTCTAGTTGCCTGGAATAACAGTGGTGGTTTTATTTTAAAAAGACTGAACCAGGAGCCTTTCAGATTAAAGTGAATGAAATATCCAGTCATTTGTGTGGCAACAGTTAAGAAAAATTTACATTTGTCACTATTCAAGACAGCAACACCTACAAGTACATTTCCAGAGACTTTCATTCCAAAAATAAAAATAAGTCATTTACAATTTGAGGAGTTTTGTAACCCTGATCAACAACTTTTATTTACCATGTAAATTACTTAATGTGATCTTGGCTCTACACCTGTAACTTCCCTGACCTAGCCAACATTTTTTCTTAATTAATATGCTAAGTGCAATGAGGTTCAGTCTAGCAACAAAAAATATCTGGTATTTTGCATGAAATTTTTATTTTTATTTTCTTCAACCAGAATTTCAGAAGAGAGATTTTGGAGGAATTACTTTTACAGAGTATCACTAATTAAACAATCGACGCAGCTAACATCACTTGCTGCTGCAGGTAAGCAAGTCATCAAGATGGGGCATGCATTGTTCTTTTGGTGATTTTTACACAATTTCTAATATTAATTTGATGAGAAAAATGGAATGTCACAAATGTGGGAAAAAGGAAAATCAGTGTACTCAACAGGATCATAACCCAAGACCTCCTTGAATCCCACAGTGGTGACTCAGCTTTTTGGGTGCTATTTATTCACCAAGCTCAGAACTTTCAGTGTACCATTCTTTAATTTTTTGTTGTGAACACTTGTTTATAATTTTACCGAGCTCAAAATTTGTACCATAATTATGTGATTCCTTACCAATTTCTGAATCATTTTACAGGTTGTATGACAAAAAAGGGAAAATAATGATGTATTAAAAGTATTTTTTGTGGAACAGAATTTTAAAATGATGATGATAGTGCTTTGCAGAACAGGACAGGTTATCAAATAGTCCTGATTATGGTGTCAGTTACCCTTGAGTGCCATACCACTGTGTTCGCTGTGTGCCACTTTTTTCTGAAAGGTCATAGAAGTGTCCATTCAATGTGGTTAATTTTGCTGAGGTTGACATAATTATTTGATATATCCATGTCATCAGGACATCTCGTAAAACCTCCTGTGAATCTCAGCTGCCAATAAAAGTTGTTTCCGGTTTGACTGATAAAAATTTTGTGAAAATTTTGACATACTCAGTATGTCATATAGGCACGTGAGAGGCAAATATCCTGAAGTGCTGAGTATGTCATATAGGCACTCAATTCAAGGGGTTAATTGGTCATATTGGTTCTTACAACAGGTGGCAGTGGTTCTAATGGCAGTGATAGACAATCAACCACATCAGAAACAAAGTCAGATACTGGTTAGTGTTTTCCCTTGTTACAGTAATTCCCATGCTATCACTAAATAAATTCTCTTTGTCACTTGCTGTACATTCCTTTGAAGTTATATGTACAGTAGGTCTGAATTTGGCAAGACTCACTTGACATCTCTGATTTGATGATTTTCTTTCTTTTGAGACACTGTTAGCCTTAGTGTGGTGAACTCTTGCTAGCTATTAATAGTGGTTTTGCATAATTTTATGACAAAATGTTTTTTGGCAAGAGATATTTACATATTTACATGACTATATTTCTCCCACTCTACTTATAATGTAAGATTTCTGTAAACGCAGTCGAGTACCGCAAGATACCATGAAGTAACGACTGCGTCTGACTCTGTGAACATCATGAATAGGACTTTATTTGTGAGCACTACACGTACATGTATTTCTGTTGGTAATTTTAATAATGTTAACATTTACTGGATTGGTTTATAGAATCAAGTCAAGGTGGGGCAATCAGTATACCCAGACAGAATACAGAAAAACAAGTAAGCAAAACTTATGACTGTTTTATCTTATTTTATTTTTGTTGTTGTTATTTTTTTATTAATTATTATTTTTTATTGTTGGTTATTATTTTTGTTTTATTATAATTATTATAATTATTTTTTATTTTGTTGTGTTTTGATAATTATTAGCTTTAAACTAATCAAAACTTTTCTTTCAGGAAACCCCTGAAGAGGATTTCTCTGAACCTAACGCAGATGAACACTCTGTTCATAATGAATTCATCAGTGACTCATTTGCACATACAGAACAAGGTAATGATATCAAGTTATTATGTGGAATTATCGAGTAGTAACTGGGGTTTGCTCAGATCAGTAAATAGTGCTTTACCCGATTAGAGTGCCCTGCCTATGGACCTAAAAAAGCTTCGTTTTAATTCTTTTAGATTTTCATTACTTGATAGGTTTAAATTTTACAAGTGACTTTCCACTTTTAACTCCATTTTTATCAGTACATGTACTTGGATTTGATTGTGATTTAAATTTAGAATTTTTACTCTATTTTACCTTAGCTACTGAAGATCTCCCTGAAAAACACGCAATGTGACGGGAGCTTCCTCCATTCGGCCATGAAGATTATTTATTTATTTGTGTGTATCAGTTGAACCTTAACTCATAATTTTTAGTGTGAAGGGACGTATTGGAAGTCTGTACCAGTTTAAGTAGCTAGTGGGTCATTTTAAGCTGTATTTACACTGTTTCAAATTTTGTAGTTGCTGTTTACCCCACCTCGCTGTAGTTATTGTAGTCAGGTGAGGTGCACAGCTAAGAATACAGAATTTCTTATAACAGACATGCTGATGGTCAAAGATGCACAGCAACAAACTGAGTATTAGTATCATGTCAGTAATTTGATTGTGTAATTTTCATTTTAAATATAAAGTATTTATCTAGTTATCTTATCATAGTGTAAAGTCTCTCATTTATGGCCCACTGAAAACAAACTAAATCAGAAGTCCTATCAACCTATATTCGTCACTGACTCTGATGCTGTTCTAGATACTACTAGATGTTACCTGTAGGTAAAAAGATAAAGTCTGTATATGAGCCAAGTGGCTCATCAGGCCAGAGCTTATCCCGGTTTCAGTAGCATGAAGCGACTAGGAGTATTTCCACTCCCCCCTGGATGGGATGCTAGTCCATCGCAAGGGTTACCCCCTGCATTAAGTTCACCGGTATCTATTTATACACTTGGATGGAGAGAGGCACCGTGAGAGTAAAGTGTCTTGCCCAAGAACACAACACAATGTCCCCTGCCAGGGCTCGATCCCAGACTGCTCGCTACGGAGTCAAGCGCACTAACCATGAAGTCACCATGCCTCCCACAAGTATCCTCACTTATGTGTACCTAGTGGTACTTTAAGTTTCATTCTACATCTGCTTTAGTATAACCCGTAGAGGCCAACCTAGAAAAGGTAAATTGAGGAGATTGCCAATTTTACCTTCTCGACCCTCTAAAAGGTTGTTGAAAGTAGTATAATGCTGATTCAACCACAAAAATGCATCAAATGTTCAAAAAAAATTCCTAGAAAACACCAAAAATCAGCCAAAATAAGTGTGAAAAGTGTACTTCAAGTGCTTTCCTTCATATTGTCTGGGAGTTTTGGTGACCCATACTGGAGACCAGGAGATTTGGCCTGTAACCAGAAGACTCCTGTATAATCCTGTAGAGATGGCGTGGACAATAACCCTGCTACTGACTGTTGCCAGGCAATGCTAATCTTGGGTTTCCAGCCTAATGTTTGTCAAGTTCCAACAGGTTGGTAGGTCTGTAAATAAAGATTAAATAGCCCTAAAAGTGAACTTTACATGTAGGTGTCATAATTATATTCCCTGTCTTCCAGTAAATAATTACACGACCATTTACCCACTCTCAGACAACCAGTTCAAATCTTTCCTACATGTAGAACTCAGTCATGATGACCTTAGACAAATTGGAATGGAAAAGAAGCAAGATGGGGATCCAAGCCATCAGTCTAAACCAACAGAAGAAGTAAAACAGTCTGCAGTATCTGGTAATGCTTCACAATGCAGTGTACTTTTTTGTAGCGTAAGAAAGGGGCACCTCATCTGAGACAGAGCTCAATACATTGGTAGCACTTAACAAATTTAACATCATAGAGGGGTTTGCTTATTATAGAAGGGGCAGTGGGAGTAAAAGGGGGGGGGGTCCTGTTAGATCATTATCAAGCATGTTCTCCCGGTTTTTTAACAAAGACAGCAAGTCCATTGCCTGCTTTGCTCTTGTTACCGCAAATTTTCCAGGAAGTAGGACTTGGTCATAACAGCTAAGAATGCTGATCAAGAGGCTTGTCCTGTTATTAGGGCTTATGTAAATTTATGATACATAAACCTGTATCTGTCAGAACATATAAATCATCATGTCTGGAATGTATAAATCACGGAATAAATTATCATCGTAACTTTTAAAAGTAATGTAAAATGTTTTCTTTGCCTTTATCTCTCTTAGAAACTCCAGATGACATTCCTGAATGGGAAAAGGAGCTTCAAGCAGAGTTACAGGTAAGTTTTGCATGGCACATGGTAATATTTGATGGTCCACTTTCTTACCACATTACAGTACTTNTTTTCTGGAATTATGATACTAAAATGTAGCACTAGCTTTAATGAACATCAAAAAGCATTGACACTTTCTGATCATACGGTAACAAATATAAAACAAGGTTGAAGGCAGGGGAAGAAATTTTAAAAACATTGATTGATGCTTTGGGGCTCACTTATATTTTTTTCATCCATATCGTTCATCACAATTTGTTATTTTTTGTCAAGGGGAGCAAGTGCAACAGGCTTTTGTGGAAACTTGTATTGTTTTGTTGCCTTTTTAGCATTGTTTCAGGAATGGATGAGACTCTTGAATCTTAGTGTCTGACACCTTTTGAAAGTGGAAGGGTGAGGGATGTTTTGTATTTGTTTTCTCCTTTGGCAAAACTGGGTCTATGAGAGGCGCATAAAAAGGAGGGATAAAAAGGGTGAGGGCTTAAATTAATATGGGACCATGACTCTTACTATACATTTATGTAAATAGAAAGGTAGCAGAATAATTTAATACTTAAAGATCTTTTTAGCATTCCCAGGTGTTATTTAAGTGAGACCCATGTGGCATAACATCAGAATCTGTAAAATCTCTGTAAAATCTTCCAGCATCTTAGAAATTTTCAGGCCAATTAGTCCCAGGAAAAAATGATTCTCACTCATTGATTTTAGAAAACATTGGCAAGGTAGACATTAGTACCACTCAATTTCAAATACAGGGCTGCAAATAACAGTCGGTCATAGAACAATGGCCGACCAAAATTTGCTCATGTCTGACAAAATCCCAACTGTGGTTGGACATAATTTCTGGACAATTTTTTATCTTAAATCATTTTAAGGTAAGGATGAATAAAAATCTACCGTGAGTGAGTATTAGTGAGTAAATCTTACTTCTTTTGGTGATGTCCGACCACAATTTGTTTTGTCTGACCAAGATGGTGTCTTAGTAGGACATATGTCCTTTCAAGTGAAAAGGGTTATTTGCATCCCTGAAATATGTACATCTTGGGAACTGTTGAGTATGGTCAGAATTCTGTGTGGAACAGCGTATTAGACTAACTGGTCTACAGTTAAACCTTCTGCAAGCAGTAACCTTTGAGACCAAAACATATCTGCAGGGTTTTTGTTAACATTCTTAGCCAGAGGGCGACTGGTTTTCACAAGCGGGCAAAACTTTTTGAACTGAACTGTTTTATAGAAGAACGTGCCACTCGATAGTCAAACCAGGAGGGCAAAATTGTCTGCACAGCAAGTCAATTTGCCCAGTGGTGGAACCTTAATGAAATCCTTGTTTCTACATAAGAGAAGTGTCCAATCCATGACTTAGTGTCCGCTCTACAGGAGGTGTACAGGAGTGGAGTTGTGAATGTGCCAGTTTAAGTAGCTGGTGGGTCTGTTAAAATGTGTTTACAATGTTAAAAAGAGTATTGTATTTACAGTGCAGTATCTCATATAAGTCATGTAACTGTTAGTAATACCGATAATTCATGTTAGCCAGACGAGGTACACTTTTAAATACACAATTTGTTTTGGGTACTTGCATAAATTAGCAAAAGAAATGTAATGTGCACTATTCTAAGTATTGACCTGTTGGTTGGGTTAAAGGTGAAATAAAAGATGCTAGTTTTGGAACCAAATTAAAGTTGTATTCCTTTATAGCTGTGTTTGTCCCAAGTCATCTAAAGTAGTGCAGAGGGCAAGGGAGAAATTAATTTGATACTTTCCCCACAATCTGGAATATAATGCTGCAGTCATAGGAAAATTTGGTGTCCACTAAGTAGTTATTTGTGTAGTAGTGTGGCATTCTCATGACTTGCAAATTATATTTATTGTAATATAAAGATTTGATGTCTTAATTCTGTTGGGCACTAGGCTCCTCTTTGCTCTTACCCAACGAATTGTGGAAACAAGTAACAATCAGGATTTAGAACATAATAGGCCTTTTCTGAGTTGCCTTTTGTCTCTGTGTCAAAGGAAGTGCGAAACCATTCACATGAAAATGTGTACCTCCTACGAAAGGTTTTGCAGAAGGACTTGTGTTTAAACAGTGGCACAGTGTAACTCGGAAATAGCCTAGCAACACAAATCTTGAATGGAACACTCCACAGTGATC